CTCTGTCATTTTTTGCATACGAGACAAACAGTAATTGTTTTTTTTTATTTATTTTTTTTTTTCTATGAAACATAACGTTTATTCTTTTCCGAATTGTTCCCGAGTTTAAAAATTCTTTTCAATTTCTACACAATTTTTATTGATAAAGTATATTAGTTTCAATTGTTACTTTAATAGAAAATTTGTTTAATTTAAGTAACACTAGGATTTTATAAAAATGAATTGATGAACAATTATTATTAATCCATTTAAACTTTTGACACTTTTTTATAACATATCCAGAACGTATGTTAGTTTTATATATAAGACGAATGAAGATTTATTAAATTTATGCACTGAGAAAAAAGTATTTTGCAACTAAGGGTATTTATTTTGATAATCAGAATACTTGGTATTGTGCTACTAAGAATACGTGGTATTTTGATTATCAAAATACCACGTATTCTTAGTAGCACAATACCTAGGTATACTGATTATCAGTATACCAATATAACAGACTATTGGATGTTTATAACCTCACTTTACTGGCACAAATCAATTGACTTATAAAGCTAACAAAACAAATTAAAATTAAAATTAAAAGTGTAATAATAAATTTTTTTCAAGCTAATATAATAAATATTAGTTGAATTCTATTTTTACCAGTGCATAAATCAAATAAACTGACTGTTAGTGTTGAAACGTCGATGGCAGTGACAGCGCATATATTATAGTTTACTGCGCAGAGTATAGGTCTTGAATTGACTTGTATTCTGATAATCAGAATACTTGGTATTTTGATTATCAAAATACCAAGTGATGTGATTATCAAAATACTTTTTTCTCAGTGTGTCTGTCTCTAGAGTTATAATCCAACCAATTCGAAAATTTAGGAAATTATTCTTGATATATTGTACTATACGATGATATAAACAATCGATTTAAAAAAATTTTCAAACCTATATTACCCGTCAAATTAAATTAATTCTAATATTTTCTCAAACAAATTGAATAAAAATATAAAAACAGTGTTCTAACGAGACATTTAGATCGTTTTTTAAGTACCTGCAAAAATGTCAACGTTTTTTTTGGATCAACTTTTTAAAAGTCAAGTCTATTGGATATTTTTTCATTAATTATGAAAAAAAGAGTTGAATTTATATCCAAATTATTAGATTGATATAAAAGGGTTCTTTAAATTCCATTTGAATATAAATAGCTAGAAAAATTGATACTAAAATATAACATGGTGATAGTATGAGCCATATAAAAGAATCTGATGTATTTTCACTCAATATATATTAAAATTTTTAGTGAAACATCTTCTTTTTTCAACAAAATACTTTTTAGCGAACGAAAAAAAATTAAGGACCAAATTGAGAAGTTAAAGTACGCATGCGTATCTATATTCGATCGAAATAAACGAAAGCCTGTTCCAAAGAGCGCCATCTTTTCGTAATGACTTATATATACTTCATATATACAAGCTGAGCTTTTTGTTTATATTATACATAGCGTGCCTCTAGTAACACAAATATACCTTCGTGTTGACGAAATCTCTCGGTTTTATCTTTATACACAATCTCATACACTTTACCTTGGTGGATCGAAAAATACAGGCTAAAAGCTTACAACTCCTATTGCGCATGCACTTGTATATTACGTCTATTGCAAAGGTAGGCTTACACTAGTCATGCAACAAACTACGTCATCATTAAGCTCGAAATATAGATAAAAAAGTATTACGCATCATGCACAAGCTTGCAGTTACTATTCAAAAATCGATACATCATGTTTATTAAATTAAAATTTTATAGTTATGTGATGGTATTTTTTATCTAAAAATTCAAAAATTAGGAGAAAATTTTTTTAAAAGATTCATAACAAGGAAGAAAATCTAGTAAATAAATAAGTACTCATGTGAAGTGATTCATTTTTATTGATACAAGGTTACTAGTACTGATAGAAAAAGACCCCTTCGGTCACATTACATTCGACCCCTGGAAATAACTCTCACTTTCAACGGCGTAGACTTTCTGGCTCTACCTACTTACTTCTGTATCGACTCATCACGCCCTACTTGCATGCTTCTGTATTGAGTATGTAAACTCCCGACAATGTGTAACAGACTATTTGCCTTTTACAAGCTGGTATTTAAGGTTGCCGTACTCATACTCATACAATAAAACCAAATGCAATTACAATCGGCAACCTGCCACTGCCACAGTTACACGCATTCTTTATTTATTTATTTTTACTTTCATTCTGTTAAATTTAATTCTCGATCATGATAACCATTTACTGAATCAACACTTTTATGTACCCCATAAATACTTATCTTTTTATTAAAACAATACAAGACATTTTTGACATGAATTTTTCGTGTATCCTAAAATAAATAATTAGGGTGGTAAATTTTTTATCATTTATTTTTTTCCATAATTGAGTCAATAAAAATTTTTATCTTAAAAATAATTGGTGATAAAGATTTTATTTTGAAAGAAATAAAAAATAATGAGATTTAAAAAAATCTAAATATGTTGTTTTAGAAATAGTTTTATTACTGTAGGTATTATTATTATTTTTTTTTTTTTTTCAATTTTTCAAATGATTAATTTAATATTGGTAAATTAAGTGAAATAAATAAAAGTATAATCCGTCTTTTTTAGTTCTACATTACGAAAAGGCAGCGTTGAAGTATGAGAGTACTGTTGTTGTCTGCCATCTGGTGGCAAGTAAAATAAACTTAAGCGGTGGTGTAGAACCCCGCAAGTGCAACCCCTCCGTAAAGAAACGTCAGTTCCGCTTGCTGTGCGTTTTCTCGTGTGTTCAGAAACATTTCGTATCGTGATTTATTGTAAAGCATATGCAAGTGACATACTAAAAAATAATAATGGTAATAACAATACTCATAATAGCATAATCAAAACTTGATTATAACAACGTGTGGCTTACTTAATCTTTTAAAATAAGTTATCGCAATTGTTGTTCTTTCGGAGACATTTTCTTTTTAGCCTCTACGAATGTACGTTCAAAATCATTCGCTTTAATTAATACATTTATAACAGTGTCAATAACATTTTAAAAACAAAATTACTGACTGTTTTTAATCAAAAAGTGGATTTTTAGTGAAATAATCGTCAATCAACCTTGAGGTTAATATACACATAAGTGGAGGTGATAAAAGAAAAATGCATTGGTCACGGGGCTTTTTCTAGTAATTGAAATTTAAAAAACGTCATTGCTGTTAATTTTTTTTTTCTATTAATTTCTAGGAATAATTATTACCACTCGTTAATTTAGTGACAGTTTAATGGTCGCACCCTCTAAAGTGTTCACACGTGCTTTGTTTTCTTGAGTCATTCGGTCATGTAAATCGAGCGAGTTTGACCTCGACTCTCATAAGTGCACTTACGATCGATTCTCAGTTTGCATAAATTTATTGTTTGAAATTTTCCTGTTTACAACCAAAGTTTATGCTTCATACAACCCTTCAATTTGCTTTTTTTTTTTTATTTTTAGATACTTACTAAATATATACTGAAATAATACTAAAGATTGCTTTTGAACAATTCGTTACTATTGTTTTATTTCAATACTGTTTATTTATTTGGGTGGAAACAAGATAAGCAACGGGAATTTTACATCTTGGCGGTGGGTGGCGCTAAAGATTTCCTCGACTGACGCGCCCTTTAACTGAGATTAATATCGTAAATAAACAATCTATACTCACAATTTATTGTCGTTGATAATTTATTGCTTTTATTTATTAATTCTTTATTTTTTTCAAAAACTTTAAGCCGTATAATGCAAATAAAAATGTCTTTATTTTAAAATAGAGAACAACAAGAATTCGAATTTAATTTTTCTATCAACAAAATTTATTATAGTTATCTTGAAAAATTAGCAAACAAATAAAGTAATAAAAAATTGACAAGTTAATGAAAATTTTTTCAAGTGCAATTCGTTGGTCATGTAATGAATGATACAATGATAGACAAGCCCCACTGACCTATTGACTCTTTAGCCCAGTCTCTTAGTTGACGTTTCCTCACCCTGCCGTCGAAGGCGCGCGTTAAAGTAAAGGTCGAGTATCCAGTCCGCATTGAAAAGTCTATTGTTTATTTTCGAACAGAATAAAAATCTTTTTTTCTGTATGAAATAAATATGTTGCATGTTATTTATTTATTATTAAATATAACAGCAATGATGAAGTTGGAGAATGTGATTCTTAAAGTAATTGATAACGATAATGAAAGCCTCAGGATCAGTGTGTTGCCAATAATGTAGTGATTAAAAAAAATTAGATAACTCGAAAAAAATATCATTTTATTTTTTGTAGATAATAAAGATCTCTCGATAAGAGAGACTGGTCCTACGTGCCATGGCTTCAACATCGTGTATACTCGCTATCGGTCTTTTAACAAGATCGTGCGAGTCGTCATGCGCGCGGAAAAACCCAACTCACGACGCGAATAGAATCGATATACATTAACGATACGCCGGCGTGGGTGAATCGTAACGCTTACCGCGTCAAACTCTAGTCAAAAGTATAAACCTAGTCTAATGTAACCGATCAAATTTTAATTATAATTTTAATGATATTAATAATAATAATAATAATAATAATAATAATAATAATCAATATTTGCTGCCGGTAAAATAGTACGGCCAATAGTCAATTTGTACATACATATTGATAATAAAAAAAAATAATAATAATAATAGTTGTAATAATAAAAATAATAATATTAATAATAATAAGTAGCTTGAAGCGACAAACAATCGACTGGCATCGAATCGTCGTAATAATAATTATATACTTATGTTGTTTATATAATTTATAAAAAGTTGATTTAATTATAGTAAAGAAGCAATAAATATAACAAAACTCGGAAGTATATAATTAAATTTATTTGAATATATTTATTTCAAAGTGAGACGAAAAATACGTGCAATGTTTGAATATAATTTTAAGTAGAATTATTAGTATCGAGTCAGACACGCGTAATTAATTAAACATGGCTGAAAGCGCGGGAAGTCCTGCTGCTGTGACTACAGCTAATAGTCCACAGCAACAACAACCTCAACAACAGCAACAACAAAGCCAAACTCAAACTCAAACTCAAACAAATGCGTCGACACAACCGCCGGATATTAGCAGCTCCCAACTCGCTTCTCCGCCTATTACTGGAACAGGTATTTTTATCATCGATTAATGTTTATTGTAGTGGCTTGGTTTTTTATTTCTTTTCAATACACCAAAAAATATTAGTAGCTCTTTTGGAACTATAGGAAATTTCAAATCGTGAAGTCTACTTTGGTGTTTTTGTTATTTATTTCATACTTTTCAAACATTAGAATTTATTTATTTATTTTCGAATCAAGAATATTAGTTTTTTCTTTTATTTATATAAATTTTATCTTTAATTTTCTACAAAATTAAATATACATTTGTAAAATTTTAATTTCAATGAAAGTTATAAATTTATGTTTATTAGAAAAAAAATTTTCATAAAAAAAAAATTTAATCGAATTCAAGTCCAATTTTCGTAAAATTGAAACCAAAACTTTTTTCTGCATATTTAAATAGAAAGGAATGCATAATAAGAACATTTTGAAAAATGAATATCAAATTACACTTGAAAAAAATTTTATTTAGTTTTGACCAGATAAACTTTAAAAACTATAAGAACTATACAAATATTTTTTCAGAAAGGATATACTTATAAGTAAATATTAAATAAAACATAACGGAAGAATCTAGTTAAAAAAATCTTAATGGAATTTTGTTTTATCCTCAAAGAATTTAAGCAATTATCTGTCTTTGAGTCTTATTGTATTTTGTAATCGGAGATAATTTTACGTTATTCCTGATATTATCACCTCGGAATTTCGCACTGTAAAAAATCGATGGCCTCAATATTATTCGAGTTAATGATTGTATAATTTTGTAATGATATAAATAGTATATTCACTGCAAATTCTGGTTAAGAAGAATTCTATTTATTATGTAAAGAGTTCACAAGTTCTGACAATGAGCATTAATAATAACCGTCGATATCAGTGTCGTCACTTAAAAAGTAATTTGATTAATTATAAAAACTGTCACAGACATAATTAGGATATACATTTGTTTCTATCAATAATTAATAACATACCGAGTATAATTTTGCAATGTTAGTAAAAAATTTTTAATTAATGTTTTCCTGCAGACATTATTTTAATGGAAATTATTTTAGCAGATATTTTATTACCAACATGCTCTAAAAAACCCTGAAAAAATACTTTGATTAAGAAAATTTTCTTGTCCAAAGAGTTGGTTAAATTGATAAAAATAGTTTTTTATTGAATTTGAATAATGCTTTTTGTCAAGAGATTAATAAATTAATTCCAATAACTTCTTGAGCCTATAAATCCTTATTTAGACGATATTTTTTTTTTCTCAATGTACATACTGATTGAAAAATAAATTTAATTAAAAAACAAAATCTTTAACCAAATCTAGCTACTTCTTGTTTCAATAACTTTTTTTACTTGATTCAAAGCAGTAAAATGCTAAGAAATGATTTTCTTGGTTCAAGATTTATTCTCTTCAAGTTATCACATATAACACTTTATACTTGTACATTAGTAATTAATTATCTATTAATTGCGAACCGTGTATAAAATTTAAAATATGTGATTTTTAATTTTTAAATTTAAATGCATGTATTTGAAAATTCGAATTGTTTGCAATTGAACTAAAGCAACAAATCTGTATGATTAATTTCGATTTGTATATAATTAACACGAGTTAAGTTTGATATGTGTATATTAATGAATTTTGACGATTAAGGGCAAAAATATTTGTGACCAAAAGAAAAAAGAGCTCGGAAAATTAAGAGAGTATCCATGTGTTATCATTCACGAATTTCAACTATGTCGGAATATATACAATCAATGATTATCTATTAGATATACACTATATAAATACACTAAAAATTGTTGAATACAAATTATAAAGTAAATTAACTATTCTAACGATTCAATTTAAATCTTAATTTATTAAACTATAAATGTATATATCTTTTGTTACTTAATTTCTGCGATTCGCATTTTTAATTTTTTCCATATACACTTATATGTATAAAGAGTGTATATTGATTGGAAGATTTTGAAAGTGAGCTTTATTTTATATTTTATTCATACAGAATTAAAAATTTAATAAATTACGATTTCATTTTGATCACTCAAAATGGGGCTTAAAAAACTGCATCGAATGCCGCTAACCGCGTGAAAATCGGTTCATTCATTCAAAAGTTATTGCAGTTTGAAAATTCAAAAAATAGTGTTCTACGAAACTTCTATCAGACTTTTGAGCTCGAAGAACTCAAAAACATCATAAGTGTAATTTTAAGCTCCTAGGTATGGAATTAGCGGAAAGTTACAGGGATGGCCTTCAGGGTCAACCATTTCCCTAATTTTTTTTTTAAATGATCATGAAATTTCGTCAGATGATGCACTGATAAAAGGATTTGTTTATAGTTAAGAATATTTGTTAATATTTAACAAATCATTTATTAGAAGCCATTTTTTAGTCCTTGACAAATATTTCTTAGTATTTAGAAAGATATATTAATATTTAATAAATGAATATCAGATTTATTAAATACAAACAAATCATTTTAAATACTAAGAAATATTTGTTTAATACTAAAAAGTGGTCTCTAATGAATGATTTATTAATTATTAACAAATATTATTTAATACAAATAAATCCTTCTATCAGTGTGTCAAATTAAAGACCCTATCAAAATTATAGGTCTTAAGATTGATGTTCAATGATCGCAAAATAGAAAAAAATGTTTTTTAAACTTTGGAATGATATATCTTGTCATACAAATAATTTACCAGCTAGAACGATGCATATTTTTGTAGGAAATTGAACTCAACAAAAAAATAATAACAACAAAATCAACAACATTTATAATTATAATAATAATACGCGAAACCTCAGTTGAGAAATAAAGTAATTTTCAGCTACCTCGTGGTTAATCAGCTATTTAAAATCTCGTCTTCACGTAGTAAATATCACGATGCGCACGATACATTACAAACGACAAAGCCAACATAATAAATAAGCAATAATAAAAGAAAGAAGAAAAAAAGGAGGGTATACAAGTAGTAACCAAAAGCCGCTGCACAACAGACAGCGCAGTGGGATAGAGAGAAAAGAGCGCGCAGAAAATGCGCCGTTTTAGCGGATCTGTTGGTCAAGTAACGGGTCGGCGGTGGAGTACCGCTAACAGCGGACTCTGACGCGGTTACCGAACACCGTTATCTCGCTGGGGATACCCACGTGGTGTCTCACCATCCTTGCACATAAACGTCGATCCACGGTTACTCTGAGTTTTGCAGAGAGGGCTCGACTCACGTCCCCTTCTCCTTCTCCTTTTCTTTAATCCGTTGCATTCCTCCGCTTCTTATTTCATTTTATCTTTCTCTTGTCTCGTCTCCTTTTCTTACTTGTTGTTTTTTGTATTTTTCGATGCTCTTCTGGCAAATGTATACTAGATACACTTATAAGTCTGTATGTGCAAATACACTTATAGGGTGATGCACAGCTTACATATGAGAAACACGACTACGCAGTATGTAATAATGGCACTTTTTTTATGCCTTACGGGGTCTAGCGTAAGCCGTTTTAATTGCCGGAACGGTGAGCGATGAGTCAAGATTATGTTATACATGTATAAAATTTGCGGTAAATTGATATAAAAAAGATGTTTATATTTTTCATTAGGGTATATTTTATTTAAACTTGTTTTTGCATTATTGTTCGTAAAGGTAAATACAATACCTTCTATACATTAATTATTTAACATACATTAAGCTAAAATTGTAGATAATTCAAGTTAAGAAATTAAAGTATTAAATTATTTTTTTATGTAGTTATCAGAGAGTATAAGGTTATGAGAAAGGTTAAAATCTTTTTGATTCACGTGCTGCACGAAGTCTATGTATGAGTGATGAGTCAAGTAACGTATAGCAGTAAGTAGTAAGACTTATGTTAAGTAAAAAAAAAACAAAGGAAAACAACGGTGCTTCTTGTACAAAAGTAATCGATACAAAATGATTGATATCATAACTTGTAATGTTTCTTCCGAGACATTTTATTTTATTTTACTTTATTTTTTTTTTTTTTTTTTTTTTTTTAGATTATCCGCGTCCTCGTGATAATAGAGATACGCGAGCGGTTGTTTTGTTAAGGAGCTTAAATTTTACGAATAAATATATGTATAGTGAACAGTGAAAAAATTGTTCTTCTCTGTGAAGCCTTATTTTACTGGGAATATTGTTTGAAAACGTGAGATCACGTGGTGATTAAACACTTATCACGCCAACGGGACTTCACTGGTCGATCTTGTACATTTTATTTTTTTTATACATTTTTCCATAGATTGTCTTGTAAAAAAATAGTATCAAAGAATTATTTTAGGATTTTTAAACTAGAGTTATTGGAAATTATTTTAATTATAGATCAGGTGAGGGATTATCACTAAGATTGGTACTAATTCCTAACTATTAGGTAACCATAAAATCTGGTGTGGGATGCTATTTTGAATGATTAAAAAAAAACCATCCCTCCAAAAATTAACTACAGTTAAACAATAGCCGTGAGCAATAGATTAAAATCAAGAATTTTTTTTTTTGTGTTTATTATCAGAACGAACATGTCTATTTATACGTACACGGAAAAAAGTAAACTGTAATATTCACTCGGATTCCGGTTAGTTTTTATAGTTTCAAACAGTAAAGCGGACATCGGGGTGGCAAAAATGTAAATATTACAGAACTTAATGTAGAAAGTATAAAAGCCACAATTTATAATTTAATATCCAAAATAAGTGATTAGTAGTTGTCACTATAGTAAATAACGACTCTTTAATCTTTAAAAATTACAGTTTCAAACAGTAAAAATTGCTATTTCAATATATAGTCCATATTATGAGGAGAAGGGGAACTCAGATGAAAGAGAAGGGGTTCTCACTTTGGGAGAATTTAACATTTGAAACAGTAAAAATTATACTTTTAAAATATACATTTTACCAGTTCAAGCAAGTCAATAATTACAGTTTGTTTTTTAGCGTTGCGTTTAAAATTTACCATTTTTCTTTGTTAATATTGACGTTGCTTGTATTAGAAATTTACTAACTTTATTTTATACTTTTTACATATCATAACATCATATGTAAAGAGTAAATTGTAACGTTTAAATTGTAAATATTACAACGTGAATGGTAAAATCACGATTTTACTGTTTGAAATGGTAATTTTTAACAGTTGATCATTACTTATTATAAATCGACTGTTATTTATTACAGTTTACTTTTTTTTCCGTGTAAATATCCCGATAAATCGACGCTGCGTTAAAGTAAGGCCCTGATATTCATGAGGATTAGATTTATCAGGACTTTGTGATGTATTAATATAGTGTCGCTTCTTATTAGGAATTATTCAATTATCCTGTAATTTTTTTAGAAGAAAAAAATCTTTTTCCCATTCGTTAACTAAGATTTTTATATAAAAAAAAAAATTTTTTTTTGTCGTAATCATTTTTAGAATTTCATAATAACAAAAACAGTTTATGTAGTAAATGCCCGAAATGCTCATAGTTTCGTCATAACAAGGAAGAGGAAGGGGAAGGGTTGATTTTTTTTTTAATATCATAAAGGACCGAATTTTCAGTACATATTTTTCCCTTATAATTACCGTGAGTCTATCCGTTGTCAGATAATTAGGGTACAAGTTATAAATAATTTAAGTTATTTTTTCAATAATTTGTATAATATGGTATAAAAATGAAAAAAAAAATTTTATTTTATTTTTCTGCAAAAAAAAATTTTATTGTTTGAAAAAATTTATTTAAATTTCCGAAAGTCTGTCAAGCTAAATTTCTTTAAACTGTATAGAAACAAATTTATTAAAATATGTGAGTAAATCCCTATTTCTGCCAGTCAGTTAGTATATACATCATTTCACTATAATCTATAACTATCACTTAAAGCCTTATAATAACTGGTGACACTCGAAAATATCTTTTTTCCATCGAAACAAAATTTCAAATGGAAAATAAACTTTTGTTCTTAATTTCGCTATCCATGTGACGTTAAAAATTCAAATATATCAATTCAATCTTTAAATAAATAACTTTTTGAAATATGAATGCAACTTTAAAATTGTAGAACTGATAGAAATTTCATCATAGGCTTAATTTTCAAAAAACTTTTAGTGTAA